TGATGGGCATGTTTCCACCACCACCACCACCACCATAAGTTGGAGGGGGAGGGGCTCCTCCTCGTCCTCCTCCTCCTCCTCCTCCTCCTCCTCCTCCTCCAACCTATGGTGGCGGTGGTGGAAAACGTGCCCAGCAGGTGAGGCGGAGGGAGGAGGATCAGAGGAGGAAAAGGTACCCATACCGCTACCCTGCGGCCGTTTACCCTCCTTCGCGGCCTCCCGGGAGGCCCTCGTCGCCACCGCTGGATTCGCCTCGAAATTCTAGTCAGAACGCACCCCAGGAGAAGTCCGAGGAGTGGCGGAATCGGTACCTTTCTGGTTCCCCAGGTTCTCTGTCGGCCTCCGGGAGGCCGCTCGTACTCGTCGCCACGGCTGCGTTCCCCGCAGTGTTCTGGTCGGGGGGCGAGAGGCACGTCCATTTGAGACAGAAGGCCGCCTTCCCAACAGCGACCGATGCCGGTTTTGGACAGCATTCGTTATTGAGCATCGCACCGATCTTTTCCGTACCCATGTTGGGCGTCCAAAGAGGAGATGGAGGGGACGGTGGAGGAAGATGGAGGAGGAGAAGGAGGAGTGGCGAATGAGGAAGAGAGCGTCGGGTTGGGAAGGGGGGAGGGGCTCTGATGGGCTTGTTTTCCACCACCACCACCACTAGTTGGAGGGGAAGGGGGTCCTCCTCCTCCTCCTCCTCCTCCTCCTCCTCCTCCTCCTCCTCCTCTTCCTAATCCTCTTCGCCCTCCTCGTCCTCCTCCTTCCCCCTTCCAACTTATGATAGTGGTTTTGGAAAATTGGCCCATCAGGCTCATGGGATGGCCCAGGGATTCCCCTCATGGGGGTCTGTGAGCCAGACTGGGACTGAGCGGGTTTCTGTGCAACCTCCTGGTTCCATAGCAAGCTGCAGGTGGCACCACTCCTGCTAACAGTCCGAATCGCCCAGTGGTATTCAAGCGAGGTTCCTTCGCCACCAAACATTTACGAAATCGAAGACGCCTACGGCGAATCACCGCTGCTTCCTGCCTTCTGGGCTACACCTATGTGACCAAACGTTTGGCCAATGCTTTGCCGCGCCATTGGACCATGCGTTCCCCCAGCCGTTGTTGAAGCCATTCGGGGAAAACGTGGGGAGAAAACGGAGGTTGAAGAGAGGGAGACGGATGAGGAGAATGAGGATGAGGAGATGATGAGGATGATGAATGAAGGAAGGGGAAAGGAGGATGAGGAGAAGGATGAGGAGACCTTTTGGGAGCTTCTTGGGTCATTGTTGGTGCCTCCTGGGAGCTTCTCCTGGAGGCCTCCTGGAGGTCTCCTTTGGGCCTCCTTGGGCCTCTTGGGGGCCCTCGCGCACTTCTTGGGGGCCCTTTCTCCTCCTCCTCCTCCCCCTCCTCCTCCTCCTCCTCCTCCTCCTCCGCCTCCTGCTCCTCCGCCTCCCCCTACTCCTCCTCCTCCTCCTCCTCCTCCTCCTCCTCCTAGTACCATTTTGGCTCACGCGCGCTCGCTGCTGGCCCCGCCGCCGACGCGCCGACGCCTGGTACGGCGATGGCTGCCCGCGCGGCACCGCTCGAGGGCGCGCGCGGCGCGCTCCTCGCGGTCCACGCCGCCGCTGGGCCGGCGGCCCGCGCCCCCGCAGGCGGCCGCGACGCGGTGCGCCTGCTGCGCGCGGCTGAGGGCCTCCTCCGCACGGCCGTGGCCGTGCTGGCGGCGCCGCCGCCTGCTCCCGCCCCGCCTGCTGAGGCGGCCGCGCCACCCGCCGCCCCGCGGCGGCGGCGCCGCCCGCGCGGACGAGGCCGAGGAGCAGCCGCGGACATGGCGCCGCTCGACATGGAGGTGGTCGACGACGGGGGCGGGGCGGCGGAGGGTGCCGTGCGGGGCGCTGCGGCTCCCGATCCATCGCCCGTGCCGATGCTGGAGGACGACAGCTGGGCTGATGCTCTGCCGTTGGTGCAGCGGAGCCGCCCGCCATCCAGCGCGGCCTCGCGCGAGGGCAAGGGCAAGAACACGGGCAAGGGCGGCGAGCACAATGACAAGAGCAGGCACGCTGGATTGGAGATCTGGCAGCTTCGGAATCTCGTCCGCCGCCTGGCGACGCGCGCGAGGCTCCCCAAGGTGCCCGAGATCCCGTTCGACCGCGACGAGCTGATCGCAATGGCCAGCAACTTCGAGGAGATGCTGACCGCGTACGACGGCCCCCGCGCAGGTCGCGGCTCGGGCACGTGACAAGCGAGCTGGGCGTCGACATCGGTAAGCCCGTCGCGCTCGGCCTCGCGGCCGGGGGCCCTAGGCAGCCGCACGGCGCAGGGCCCCCGTTCAGGGGAAAGCCGTCGACTGCATGCAGTTCACGGTCGGGGGGTCTGGCTCCTCAGGTGGAGACCAGGCCCCCCGCGGCGGGAGGCGGGGAACACGCGCTTTCCTGAGACTCGGGGATCCTCCTCCTCCTCCTCCTCCTCCTCCTCCTCCTCCTCCTCTCCTCCTCCTCCTCCCGCTCCTCCTCCTCCTCCTCCTCCTCCTCCTCCTCCTCCTCCTCCTCCTCCTCCTCCTCCTCCTACGCATGCTGCTTGCGCACTTCTTGGGGGCCCTTGTTGCCGCTTGGCCCGTCGGTCGCCGTCGGTAGCCGCCTTGGTAGACTCTCTGGGCCGTCTGGGGGCCCTCTTGGAGCTCGTCGGGGTCGCTTTGGAGGCCATCTTGGGCATCTCGGAGGCCTCTTTGGCCTCCTCGGGGCCCTCTGTGGGCCGCCTAGGGAGCCTCTTGGAGGCATCTTGGGCGATCTTGGGGCAATCTTGGGCCTTCTTAGGTCGTCGGACGGCCATTTTGAAGCAATTGCCAAAGTCCTTGAAAGCGATTGGAAAGTCACTGATGTCGGTATGTTTGGGCCTTCATATAGAACCTCTTAGAGGCGTATGTGGCCGTCTTGGGGGCCTCTTGGGCCTTTCTTCAGCCGTCTTGGGCTCTCTTGGACCATCTGAGCGGTCATCTTTGGGCTATCTTGGGACCATCTTTGGGCTATCTTGTGCTCTCCTGAGGCCATCTTGGCCGTCTGGGAGGCCATATTGGCCGTCTTGGAGACCATTTTTAGCGACACAGCCGACGGAGGATGCGTCGCCCGGAGCTTTCTGGCTGGCCGACGGATTGGGCCGAAGCCCCCAAGGGAAGTTCTGTAGACAAGACAGGCAAGCCCTGTGGGCACGTTCGCCGCGGCACGCCAGGCGCAGAACCTTCCCGGAGCCCAGGAGGCACACGACAGGCCCCAGGACATCTGGGAATCTGGGGCCCAGGCCCCTCAATGTCGGGGGCGGCAGAGAGGGGGGTGATGACTGGGGGGGGGGGATATCATGGCGGGGGCCACGATATTTCCCCAGATTTCATGGCGCCTCTTCGTGTTTCATTATGTCCCTGGCCCCCCCGCTGGGCCGCGCACATGCCGCCGGTCATGATTTGCACCCCCCCCCTCTTGGACACCCTCCCCTTGGCCGCTCCCGAGAATACTGATTCACTCATCAGTTACTGAGGACGGAGAGCTCCAAGGGACTTGAGGGCGCTCCAGCTGATGTTTCACGGTGCGGTGGCGGGTTGCTTGCTCACGTGTCTGGCGTGAGCATCGTGAAAGGTCGTGAACGGGCACAAGTTTGGGCACCAATTACAGCTATACTGGAACGACGGCTGGACTTATTATATATATGCATATATATACACGTTGACCAAGAGCAATGGCTTTCGAACATTGCCATTTGATCGTTTTGTTGCCTCAGAGGTGGAATGCACCCCAGGCAGCTTATCTACACGCCGAGGCTCCATCTGTGGCGCATGGCGACCCACATGCACTGCAGGCGATGCCGCAAACTCGTTCAGAATTGCATTCGGAATCTAGAATCGTGGATTTTCTGATTGCCGCACCTTTCCCTGTTCCGCTCCCTTCCTCTACTCCCTCTTCGTCTGCCTCCCCCTTCCCCGTCCCTCCGACATGTTGCACAGCTACCCCTCACGCCTCATTGAAAACAACAAGTGTAACGACGGTCACCCGAGGCACAGTGCAGCCACTGATTCTACGCATGCGGGCACGCGTGTGACTTGCATGTTCGATGTCTGCCAATCCGCCGCTAGTGCCCTGTACTTGCTTTGTCCTTGCTATGAGTGACGCAGCATAGAGTGCCGTTTTTCATACATGCTCCGCGTGCGGATCATGCATTAAAATTGCACTGAATTACAAGTTAAAACAACGATGAGTTCATGCATACATTTATTCATAAGTTAATCATGTATGAAACTATTCGACAGTTTAGGACAATCCTATGTATTAAGAACTGCCCTGTAGAGGGGTCGGTCGATCTTCGATCCTCCTGTTTGTCGTCTCAGCCGAAGGCCGTGGACGATTCTTGTGGCCCGCGTCCATCCTCCTCCCTGCCTCTCTCCGGAGACCTGACGCCTCCGCCTCGGGAGGCCATGCTCGCACATGGCTATGTTGGCATGCGCGGCGTTAGGCCACCTACGCTGTTCCCCCTCCGGGGGGTTCAGGAGAGGGAACGGCGGACAAAAATCGTCATTTGGAGGAGGAGGAGGGGGAGGAGGAGGAGGTGGGGGAGGAGGAGGAAGAGGAGGAGGAGGAGGAGGAGGCGGAGGAGGAGGAGGAGGAGGAGGAGAGGGTGGAGGAAGAGGAGGAAAAGGAGGAAGAGGCGGAGGAGGAGGAGGAAAAACAGGAAAAGGAGGAAAAGCTGGAGGAGGAGAAGGAGGAGGAGGAGGAGGAGCAGGAGCAGGAGCAGCAGCAGCAGCAGCAGCAGCAGCAGCAGCAGCAGCAGCAGCAGGAGCAGTAGCACCAGGAAGGCTAGGCCGAGGGCCAGGAGGAGAGCGAGGAGGAGCTGGGCGAGGAGGTCGAGGAGGCGGATCGATCCAGCTCCCCCGCTCGGCCCCCCTCACCGGAGGCCTCTGGGAGCCCCAGTGAGGGCCCACGAAAAGGGCCCCGAAGGCAGGGCCGTCGGCTCGGTTCGGCCGGCGGCCGCGACGCGGGCCTC